AGCCACGCTGAGGAGAAATGGAGAGGTTTCCATGCTGAGCCATGCCAGCTCAGGAATTCTGGGAGTTGACGTCCACGAGTCATAAAAGAACCAAGGTTGCCTACCTCTGGTATATGCCCACACCCCCCTACATATACATAACAAATAAATATTAAACACTGTCCATCTTGAATATATAACGGAAGGAGGGATCTTGAGAATTCACAAGGTTAATGCTGCATAGAACGAAACATGCAAAAGGGGAATTGCATGATCCCGGGGACACCGCAACCGTCATAAATACGAGTCGGTTGCCAAACGTCCAAATTTTAATCCTATGACCACGGTCGTAAGTTTTAAAAACGGTCCTAAGTCCCTTTTTTCCAGTCGCTAAACGAATTGTCGTAAGTCGAGGACCGCCTACACTCTAAAATCGAGCACATTCTTGGAGACAAGGATGCTCCAACGCTTCTCGGTTTATCTCCCTTCCCAGGTGGTAGCAGACACCAAGGAATTATTGTCGAACAAAGTCACCGGAGCCCGAATTGTCATTTCCGGCACTGTCTACGGGGCGAAGGAGGCCGTGTCCAGTGGCGTGAACGGGATGGTGGGCATGGCCAAGGGGGCCGTCCAGGGCAGCGTGGAGATGACCTGCTCTGTCGTGGCAGGGGGTGTGAACAGCGTTATGGGCTCCAGAGTGGGTGAGATGGTGGTCACCAGTATGGATACGATGCTGGGCAAGTCTGAAGAATTAGTCGATTACTATCTCCCCATGACGGAACGAGAACTCGGTGAGTGTTCATTTTCCCTGATCCAAACATGGTCTCCAAAATTCCTTTCCACCCCCCAGTAGATATGACAGGTTGTCCTCAGCTTACGACTACACTTGGGTTCCAAAATTTCTATGGCTAAGCATTTTGAGAGGCCGACAAGAGAATGTCGTTTTTAATACGGGCCGAAGTGCGCTCGTAGTTAAAAAAAAACGGAAATAAAAGTTATCTTGTCTTGTTTTGCGACCGTTCTTGCCACTGTTGCTAAGTGAATCGCCCCGGTTGTTAAGTGAGTAACACGGTGAATTTGGCTTCTCCATTGACTTTGCTTGTCAGAAGGTCCCAAAAGGAGAGAGAGACAGAGACAGAGAGAAAGAGAAAGGGAGGGAGGGAGGGAGGGAGAGAGAGAGAGAATATATAGGCAGACTGATAGACAGTGACAGATATTGTAAGATGATAGACAAATATTGTAGACAGACAGGAAGGAAGGAAGGAAGGAAGGAAAGAGAAAGAAAAAAAGAAAAAGAAAGAAAAGAAAAAAAAGAAAAAGACAGACACATAGACATATAAAGATATATGATAGATAGATAGACGATAGTTAGCAATAGCACTTAGACTTATATACCGCTTCATAGTGCTTTACAGCCTTCTCTAAGCAGTTTACAGCCTATTGCCCCCCCCTCCCCCAAACAATCTGGGTCCTCATTTTACCGACCTCGGAAGGACGGGAGGCTGTGTCAACCTTGAGCCGGTCAGGATCGAACTCCTGGCAGTGGGCAGAGTCAGCCTGCACTACTGCATTCTAACCACTGCGCCACCACGGAGGGAGAGGGAGGGAGGGAATATAGGCAGACAGATAGACAGTGACAGATATTGTAAGATGATAGACAGATAGATATTGTAGATAGGAAGGAAGGAAGGAAGGAAGGAAGGAAGGAAAAGAAAGAGACAGACACACATAGCGATATATGATAGATAGACGATAGTTAGCAATAGCACTTAGACTTATATACCGCTTCATAGTGCTTTACAGCCTTCTCTAAGCAGTTTACAGCCTATTGCCCCCCCCTCCCCCAAACAATCTGGGTCCTCATTTTACCGACCTCGGAAGGACGGGAGGCTGAGTCAACCTTGAGCCGGTCAGGATCGAACTGCTGGCAGTGGGCAGAATTAGCCCGCAATACTGCATTCTAACCCCTGCGCCACCAGGGCTCTTAAGTGCCTTTTAAAGGTCTGTCGTAACTTCGAACAATCGCTAAGTGACCGGTCGTAAGTCAAGGACTGCCTGTACTTCAACTTTGAACCTCCGGGCTATGAGATGGTGTGGGGTTCCTTTTTTCTTCCAGCTGAACTGGCTACCTCCATGGAGGGCTTCGAAACGGGCCCGGTGGAGCAGCAGAAGCAACGGAAAAGTTACTTTGTGCGGTTGGGGTACTTGTCCAGCAAACTTCGCCACCGCGTCTTCCCGCGTTTCCTGGCTAAGTTGAAAGACGCCAAGGAGGGCACCCAAGACGCCCTGGGCCAGCTGCACCAGACTTTAGTGCTGGTAAGAAAAGAAAAAAAAAATTATTGGGATGTTTACGTCTTCTTCTTTTCTTTTTTTTTTGAACTTTGCACATGCTTTTAAGCAGAGAAAATGCTTGCTTAACTTCCATTGGCTGAACTGCGTTGATGTCACAGAAAAGGCATCACAGTCTTAACTCCCATTGGCTGACTCGCTGTGATGTCACAAGTCAGCTATCTTATATTCTTAACTCCCGTTGGCGGCCTCGCTGTGATGTCACAAGACAGCTATCACACATTCTTAACTCCCATTGGCGGACTCGCTGTGATGTCACAAGGCAGCTTTCACATATTCTTAACTCCCATTGGCGGACTTGCTGTGATGTCACAAGACAGCTTTCACACATTCTTAACTCCCATTGGCTGATGTGCTATGATGTCACAGTGCAGGCATCACAGTCTTAATTCCCATTAGCTAACTTACTGTGATGTCACAAGTCAGCTCTCATATATTCTTAACTCCCATTGGCTGACTTGCTGTGATGTCACAAGGCAGCTATCACACATTCTTAACTCCCATTGGCTGACTCGCTGTGATGTCAGAATGCAGGCATCACATTCTTAACTCCCATTGGCGGACTCGCTGTGATGTCACAAGGCAGCTTTCACACATTCTTAACTCCCATTGGCTGACTTGCTGTGATGTCACAGTGCAGGCATCCCAGTCTTAACTCCTATTAGCTAGCTTACTGTGATGTCACAAGTCAGCTATCATATATTCTTAACTCCCATTGGCGGACTCGCTGTGATGTCACAAGGCAGCTATCACACATTCTTAACTCCCATTGGCTGATGTGCTATGATGTCACAGTGTAGGCATCCCAGTCTTAACTCCCATTAGCTAACTTACTGTGATGTCACAAGTCAGCTATCATATATTCTTAACTCCCATTGGTGGACTCGCTGTGATGTCACAGTGCAGGCATCACATTCTTAACTCCCATTGGCTGACGTGCTGTGATGTCAATGCATCACATATTCTAGGCTTCAAGCTTCAGAGGTTGACCAAACCTGCATTATTTTGCTGGGTGTTAAGGTTGATTTGTCAAGATGGACAAAAGCTTTCAAGGTTAAAACATGTCACTAAACAAGGCAGGCCGTAACAACTTCCTGGATAGAAGCTTTTTTGTAAAAATAACATTTTGCAAAACTTCTCTGCTTTCTGCCCTTTGTTAGATTGAACATGTCAAACACGGGGTGGACCAGAGGCTGCAAAATGGCCAGGAGAAACTCTTCCAGATGTGGCTGGTCTGGAGCCAGATGCATGCTGGGAACGGCGAGCAGGTGGATTCATCACCACAGCCAGAGGTAGCTTTGCGATTCTTTCTCGCCTGTTTAGTTCCAGTTTCAATTCTTTTCTTTTTTACTATTATTTTTGCTGGGAACATCTGAGTTCGCACTCGACACTAAGGATTGCGTGCTGCAACATGCTGAGCCGTGATTTGTGAAGCACAGTGGCTAGAATTGCAGAATAACAAGAGTGGGAAGGGGCCTTTGAGGTCATCTAGTCCAACCCGCAGCTCAGGCAGGAGACCCTGTACCATTTCAGACAAATGGCTGTCCAGTCTCTTCTTGAACAACTCCAGTGATGGAGCACCCACAACCTCTGGAGGCATAATTAATTGTCGGTTCCACTGATTGTTGTAGCTGAATTTTTCTAACTGTTCATTAAAAGAAATGATCATATGTCGGGGGAAGGAAAAAGAAAGAGAAATCATGGTGGAGAAGGAGACTTGATGGTGGTGATGGAGGAGGAGAGGAAAGGAAGAGGAGGAGGAGAAGGAGGAGGAAGAGGAGGAGCCAGCAGTGTGCTGCAGCTGCCAAAAAAGCCAACACAGTGCCAGGCTGCATTAACAGAGGGATAGAATCAAGATCACGTGAAGTGTTAATACCACTTTACAAGGCCTTGGTAAGGCCACACTTGGAATACGGCATCCAGTTTTGGTCACCACGATGTAAAAAAGATGCTGAGACTCTAAAAAGAGTACAGAGAAGAGCAACAAAGATGATTAGAGATCTGGAGGCCAAAACATACGAAGAACAGGAATTGGGTATGTCTAGTTTAATGAAGAGAAGGATGAGGGGGGACATGATAGCAGTGTTCCAATATCTCAGGGGCTGCCCCAAAGAAGAGGGAGTCAAGCTATTCTCCAAAGCGCCTGAAGGCAGGACGAGAAACAACGAGTGGAAACTCTTCAAAGAGAGAAGCAACTTAGAACTAAGGAGAAACTTCCTGACAGTTAGAACAATTAACCAGTGGAACTCCTTGCCTCCAGAAGCGGAGAATGCTCCAACTCTGGAGGTTTTGAAAAAGAGACTGGACAGCCATTTGTCTGAAATGGTATAAAGGGTTTCCTGCCTGAGCAAGGGGCTGGACCAGATGACCTCCAAGGTCCCTTCCAACTTTATTACTATTATTATAATAGGTGGAGGAGAGGAAAGGAATAGGAGAATGAGGAGGAGAAGTAAGGAGGAGGAGGAAGAGGATGTGGAGGAGAGGTAAGGAAGAGGAGGAGAAGAAAGAAGGCAGGAGGAAGAGGAAGATGAAAGAAGGAGAAGAGGAAAGGAAAGGAGGTAGAGGAAAAGGAGGAGAAGAAAGAAGGCAAAGAAGGAAGAGAGGAAAGGAGGGGAAAAGGTGGAGGAAAGGAGGAAGACAGAAAGAGGAGGAGAGGAAAGAAGGCAGATGAGTGGAGGAGAGTAGAGGAGGAGGAAGATGAAAGGAGGAGAGGAGGGCAGAGGAAAATGAAAGGAGGAGAAGAGGAAAAGAGAGGAGAGGAGGAATGGAGGAGGAGGAGAAAGAAGGAAGAGGAGAAAGAATTATCCTGGAGAAGGAGGTGTGCTAATGATAGGAAGAGTGAGAGATGGACACCGTCCTGAGTTAGACGAATCTAAGGAAGCACAGCTCTGCTGAGGACCTGCCTTCTGCCCTTTCCTAGGCCGAGTCCCGGACGCTGACCGTGTTTCGTGGGCTGGCTCAACAGGTGCAGCTCTCCTGCTGGACCCTCCTGTCCCAGCTCCAGGGTCTCCCCGCCACCATCCAAGACAAAGCCAGGCTGATCTGGCACCCGGTGGAGGGCCTCAACCGATCTTTTTCGACCGCCCATTCCTTCGAAGAGGTGCCCTCCACTGTATTGGCCCAGAACTGCCAGCGGATCGCCATGCCCCGGGGCTCGGTGGACGAGATCGTGGACTACGTGGTGCAGAACGTCCCCCTGCCCTGGGTGGTGGGGCCGTTCGCCCCCAGCTTGGTGGAACGGCCTTACGCCTGGGGCATGGAGGGGAACGAGGAACGAGACGCCCCCCGACGCAAACGCCGTGCGGAGCCCAGGAAGGGAGCAGAAGGAACCTCTTTATAGAGCGTGGAAGGACACGAAGAACAGGGGTCTTCAAACTTGGCCCTTTTATGACTGGTGGACTTCAACTCCCAGAATTCCTCAGCCAGTACAGGGGAACTATGGCCCTTTCATGACTT